TACTAGAGAAAAATGTGTCCAGTGGGATAGCACCTGCCTCAATACAAATCCGCCCATTAAACATGGTCTGGTTAGTGTCATGTATCTCCCACCTTCTATGGATAAAAAATAAGTCATGTTCATAGTTCATATTTGTGCTTTTAATTCAACTTTGATATTGATATTGGAACTTTTAGTGTTTTAAGGTTTAGTATCTGCGTATCTTTTTCTGCTCTCTCTCTCTCTCTTTTTTTTTTTTTTTCTGAGGCCAAGGTCTTGCTCTGTCACCAGGCTGGAGTGCAGGTAAACGCCATCTCAGCTCACCTAACCTACCCTCCCAAATTCAAAGATTCTCCTACCTCGCCTCCTAATGCTAGGAACTACAAACGCCACCACCACGCCCAGCTAATTTTTGTATTTTTAGTAGAGATGGGGTTTTGCCATGTTGGCCAGGATGGTCTCGATCTCTTGACCTCGCGATCTGCCCACCTTGGCCACCCAGAGTGCTGGATTACAGATGTGAGCCACCGCGCTAGCCACTATCTCTTTTATTTTGAATTGTCATTAAATTTAGTTTTTGTCTCTCGTGTATATCACGTAATGCCTTTAATTTCAAAGTTATCTAGGTATTTCTCAATATGCAATATGAGAGTAATATGTTTGTATGTATGATTTCTGGTACGTTTGGTTTTATTTGTCATCTTTTTCTTTTTAAATGCTTTGATATTTTCTTTTTAAATTAGTCTATTTTATATTGGTTTGTTTTTATCATTTTTATTCATATGGAGTCAAATACATTTCCAGTCTATCAATGTTTATATTAAACATATAGAGAATACTCAATTATGCCACTTTTCTTATCATCAATATTGAGAATAAAACTGGACTTGTACCTGTGAAAGAAATGCAACCTGCCTTTACTTCTATCTTCTTCCACACCTTGAATCCTAGTGTAGAAGTACACAAAAATTCAAATCCATACTATTATTCATGATTTTATATGATTTATCTTTACTTTTAGAATCCCATTTATTTACATTTTCATCTACTACATTTTTATGCTACATTATAATTATTATTTAGACTTACCTAATTCTGAGTTTATATTATTTACCATCTTTTCTCAGTAAGTGATCTTCCTTATTTCTATGTTCTTCATTTTGATTCATTGCTCAGCTGACTCAGAAGCCCTTTGAGTAATTGTTTTTAGGAAGAAAGTACATGAGCTATCTTTGAGTTGCTGCATGTTGGAGTGTGTGTCTATTGCTCGAGTGTGAAAAGTACTTTTCCTGGTTATGGATTGTTGAGTCACAGTTATTTCCTGCAAACTCTGCACACCTTTGCTTGAAACTGCATTTACATAGCACACTTCTTTTTAACCAAAAACAATCTCAGTGTATATTTATTTGGTATAGTTTCAGTGGACACTAAAATAGACCAAGGGGCTAAAACCACCAAGCCACCACTCCTTCATGTGCCTTCGTAATCTGTCAGGCTTGGTTCTGTATGGTGACATTGTCAAGTGATTCAGATTTGAATTTCCTTGATACCCAGGATCCAGTAAGACTGTGTGTGCAGGATCAGAGGTCTTATAGTAAGAGAATGGCAACTTGAGGAGAGAATGCACCTCTTTTGGCCAATTGATCCTCCATCTACATCAGCCTTAATTCTCCAAGCCTGGGCAGAGTGGTGAGTCCAGTGGAGAGGAAGATTAGAAGGACTGGGGATTTCCTTTATCTCAGCTTAACCTAACATCCTTCAGCAAAGGCCAATTTTTTTTAACTTTTATTTTAGATTTGGAGAATTACATGAGAGGTTTGTTACATAGGTAAACATATGTCAGGGAGTTTTTTTTTTAACATATTATTTCATCATCTAGGTATTAAGCTCAGTACCCAAATAGTTACCTTCTCTGCTCCTCTCTACTCCTCCTACCCTCCCCATAGCAGACCTCCAGTGTCTATTTCTTTCTTTGTGTTCATGATCCTTATGATTTTAAGCACTACCACTGATAGGTGACGACATTCAGTATTTGGTTTTCTGTTTCTGCACTAGTTTGCTAAGGATAATAGCCTCCAGCTCCATCCATGTTCCCACAAAAGACATGATCTCATTCTTTTATTATGGCTGCATAGTATTCCGTGGTATATATGTGCCACATTTTCTTTATCCAGTCTGTCATTGATGAATTTACCTAGGTTGATTCCATGTTTTTGCTATTGTAAATAGTGCTGCAGTGAACATTCCACATGTATCTTTATAGTAGAATGATTTATATTCCTCTGGTATATGCTCAGTAATCAAGTTGCTCAGTCCAATAGTGGTTCTTAGCACTTGGCTCTTCAGGGTGTTGCCATGCTGCTTTTATGATGGTTGAACTGGTGCATCCACCAACAATGCCACAAGTATTCCTTTTCTCTGCAACCTTTTATATCTATTTATTTTTGACTTTTTAGTAATAAACATTCTGACTGGTGTGAAATGGTATCTCACTGTGGTTTCAATGTGCATTTCTCTAATCTGTGATATTGAAAGCTTTTCTTCATATGCTTGTTGGCCACATGTATGCTCTTCTTTTGAGAAATGTCTGTTGTTATGTCAAAGGCCAATTTTGGCAGTGCCCCAGTTCTGCTATCTGCCCTCTTTGTTGTCAGTCTTGGGCACAGGCTGGCAAAGAGCATTTGTCTTAGGATTCATGGCTCTCAGAGTGGAACTTAATTCTTGTGTTGGAGGCTTCAGTATGACAGAAACTTTCTGAAGACTTCTCCAACACAGGAGGCTTCAGTAGGACAAGATAATTGTTCCTCATCAGCCTACCTTGTCTCCAGCCACTTAAAGGTAAAATGAGGCATTGTGGCCTGGAGTTCATCAAACAGTTCTCCCTTCCTTTGATTAATGGGAGCCCAGTCTTTCAGGTGTTTCTCCTTTGGGGGTATCTTACTAAAATGTCTTACCTCTGAAGTTCATTTGCAACCTCAAATGTGACTCTTGCTAATGTGTCTATTTTACTAGGTGTCTGGATTTGAAGAGATGACAAGAGCATCATTTACTCCCTGTAATCATTCCTGAAATACCTTATTTTATTGTGGTGGAAACTAGGATCTGGCCGAAGTTTGATGACTTACCTAGGCTAGCACTAAAAATACAGTTCTTTTCTACCACCTTTTCTGTCTTCATACTATACTCCCTGAGTAGATAACCCACAAGTTAAGTTTAGTATTGCCATAAAGAGTTGAGGGTTGGGGCTTTGCATCACAATGGAAATGTTACTAAGTATCCAAAGTTTACTGTGCGCCATGTGTTGGGATGGCAAAGTAAAATGCTCATGGAGCAGAAAGAATAGGAAATTTTAGCTATTAGTAAAAAGCATTTTTGTTATACAACTTCTGAATAATTTTCTTTTAAAATTGTATTTATAAGAGCCTTTGTTTTTGGTTAAATTTACAATATATATTAGAAAATCTGATTAATTTTTATTTTACTTCTTTTGCAGCAGCAAGATAAAGAAAATTGTGTCATTCAATTGTATCATCCTTTTGCATTTGGGTATATGAGACACAGAAAACACCCATGTGTTAAATATATTTGAGACTTGGCTTGGCGTGGTGGCTCACGCCTGTAATCCCAACACTCTGGGGAGACTGAGGTGGGCAGATCACCTGGAAGTCAGGGGAGTTCAAGACCAGCCTGGCTAACATGGTGAAACCCCATCTCTACTAAAAATATAATAATTAACCGAGCATAATGGCGGGTGCCTGTAATCCCAGCTACTCAGGGGCTGAGGCAAGAGAATCACTTGAACCTAGAAGGCACAGGTTGCAGTGAGCTGAGAATTGCACCCATTGCACTGCAGCCTGGGCAACAGGCAACCTCCATCTTAAAAAACATTATATATATATGTATATATATATATATATGAGGCATAATACTTCAATGAGAAAGACTTGAAATAAAAAAACAAAAAACCATTTTCCACCATCCATCAATTACTAGTAGCCATGCCCCATCTAATGTAATCTAATTTATCATAAAATTCTGGTTTAAACTGGACATTAAGACTTGCAAATATTCGTGGCTTTTGCCTAAGATGAATAATTAACAATACTGTTTTCCTTCCATCTGCAAAAGTAACATTAATGAAAATTAAATGTTAAAATTCTATAATTATAAGTTAAATGTTTTATTAAAGTACTGTATACATCTAGACTTACTCTTTAATTCTGAAACAAGTTGCTTAGACTCTTCTCTACCACATAAAGTGAGATTTCATACTATGATATAGATTTATGCAACATAATTATTTCCTTTTGAATTAATACTATTTTAATTTGGGCTGCAGAAGTTTTTAAAAAAAAGTTCTTCAAAGACTAATTCATCTTCATGGATTAGGCAAATAGTCCTAACCAATTTATGGAGAATGTATTTAGAATATGCCAACAGCAAGTGGCAGGAGGTACTTTAACAGAGTTCAAGACTCACGTGCCCATCACTATACAAAGCACCCATAAATATGGAATCATGTACTTGTTGAAAATGTCACTGATGAAAAATCTTGGTCTTTTATGAGCATATGTTACTCATGCTTTCATTTGGTTTATTAATAAATTCTTTAGAATTATCCAGATTAAGGAGTTTATTTTTATGAGAAATTGGTATAAATTTCTTATGAAATTCTCAAAAGAAGAGTTTACAAACAGACTGGAGTGGTTAATTCAGTTTACTTTTCTCTCTTGAGGTGTTGGTCTGATGTTTCTGCTATAAAAGAGCATGATAATATCTTGTGAAGTGGTTTGGTGAGAATTTTGTTTATTAAGAACTGCTTCTATTGGGTGAAAACAGTGACTTTCTGAGATTCTAAGGCATTACAGTTTTTCCTGACACTGGGCGGCTTAATACTTAATAATAACATTTTGGTACCTGATCAGTGGCCTAAATATAGTATAGCTATAGGGACAAAAGCCCCTTTATCTTTGTATTTATTTATTTATTTATTTATTTATTTATTTATTTATTTATTTTAGAATATTTGTAGTTTTCCTGGTCTTACTGCATGTCACTCCTCACTTGCCGACCTAATTTTCAATGATAGCAAACTTTATATTCCTTTGGTGTATCGTTCTATTTCTCTAGCTATTGCCTTATTTTTTCTCACAGATGTTCTTCTTCGAGTATTTGTCGAAGGGGTAAGTTTCTGAATATTTTTATAATGCCTTATGCTATTTTGTACTTTATAAGAAGCACTGTGGGAGGCTGAGATGGAGACCCCAAGGCCAGGAGTTCAAGACAATCCTGACCAACATGGTGAAAAACCCTGTCTACTAAAAACGGAAAAATTAGCTGGGTGTGGTGGTGGGTGCCTGTAATCCCAGCACTTGGGGAAACTGAGGCTTAGGAAAATCATTTGAAACCTGAGAGAAGCAGGGTACGTGAAGCTGAATCACACCATTACACTCTAGCCTCGGTGACAGGGCAAGACTCCATCTCAAACAAACAAACAAAAAACAAAAAAGCATTTTAAAATAATTAACAGGAGCCCATTCACCACAAACTGACTTAAGAGCCTTTTGGGCCTTGTAAGAACATTAGCGGTAGTCTGGCAGTACCCTGGCTGTGTTTGAGGTGGCCATGGATTGATGCTCCTCTGCCTTTGGAAGGTGGGAAAGAAGTGGGAGGGCTGCATCTTGTGGTTTGAGTGACAGCTCAGCCATAGCACAATAAAACACTAGGTAGACTTTAAAGTTTTTTGATCTAGGCCCTGATTCCCAGACAGCACCTTTGGATCCACCAGAGGCTGGGGAGAACTTGCATCCTGAAGAAGGACACAGGCCTGGCTGTTTTTACCATGTGATGATTGCTTAGAGCCCCAGGGCCTTTGGGAAACCCATGCAATAGCTCAGGAGTGGCTACAGCAGGTCTTGGGCAAGACTCAGTGCTGTGCAACTCCAGGTCTGAACTAGTGAAGTCACAGCCAGTGGTGGCCACAGGGGTGCTTGTGTCACTCAACCCCAAGCTTTAGGTGCTTCAGAACAGAGAGAGAGAGACTCTGTTTGTTTGGGAGAAAGTAATTAGATCACAATATTCAAGTTCTTTGAAATATCTGGAAAGCCTTCCCAAAAAGATGGGTGCAAACAAGCTCTGACAGTAGAAAACTATAATATATGAAGTGAAAACTACAATAAATACCTAACTCTTCAGTACCCAGACACCAAAGAACATCTGTCACATCAACATTATCAGGGAAAACATGACCACCAAATGAACTAAATAAGACACCAGGGGCCAATCCTGTAGAAACAGAGATATGTGACTGCTTTTAGACAAAGAAATCAAAAATAGCTGTGTTGAGGAAACTCAAAGAAATTCAGAATGCTTACAGAAAATTCATAATTCTATTTAGATAACTTGAACAAAGAGATTGAAATAATTTAAAAGAATCAAGCAGAAATTCTGGAGCTAAAATGTAATTGCTTTCCAAAGAATGCATTAGAGGCTTTTAATAGCAGAATTGATCAAGACGAAGAAAGAATTAATGAGCTTGAAGACAGGCTATTTCAAAATACATAGAGCAGACAAAGGAAAGAATAAAAAACAATGACACATGCCTACAGGATCAAGAAAACAGCCTCAAAGGACAAATCAAAGTGGTATTGGCCTTAAGAGATGGGAGGTGTATAAGTTTATTCAAGGCATAGTAACAGAACTTCCCAAACCCACAGAAAGATACCAATACCCAAGTACCAGAAAGTTATAAAACACCAAGCAGATGTAACTCGAAGACTGACCTCAAGGAGATTTAATAATCACAGTCCCCAAAGATCAAAGAATAAAGAAAGGATCTTAAAAGCAGCAAGAGAAAAAGAAACCAATAATAATATCAATGGAGCTACAATATATCTGGCAGCAGACTCTTTAGTAGAAACATTTCAGGCCAGGAGAGAGTGGCATGATATATTGAAAGTGCTGAAGGAAAAAAACATTTACCACAAACAGTGTATCGGTGAAAATATCCTTCAAAGTGAAGGAGAAATAAAGACTTTTCCACACAAACAAAAGCTGAGGGATTTCATCAACACCAGACCTGTCTAGAAGAAATGCTAAAAGTACTTCAGTCAAGAAGAACAAGGACATTAATAAGCAGTAAGTAACAACGAATAACTTTAAGATATAAAACTCACTGGTAACAGTAGGTACACAGAAAATGCAAATGTTATAACACTGTAACTATGATGTATATACTCTTATTCTAAGTAGAGACTAAACTATGAGCCAATCAAAATATTAATACAACTTTTCCAAGACATAAATGGCATAATAGATACTACAATAAAAATAAAAAGTTAAAAATGGGAGACAAAGTTAAGTTATAGGTTTTTATTAGTTTCTTTTTACTCATTTATGAAAACAGTGTTATCATAAGATTAAAATAATGGGTTGTAAAATAGTGATACAAACCTCATGGTAACCTCAAACCAAAAGACATAACAATGGATACATGAAAAATAAAAAGCAAGAAACTAAATCATATCACCAGAGAAAATTACCTTCACTAATGGAAGACAGGAAGGAAAGAAGGAAGAGAAGACCCAAAACAGCAGAAAAAAAAAAATAACAAAATGGCAGAGGTAAGTCCTTACTTATCAATAATAACATTGAGTGTCAGCAGACTAAACTTTTCAATCAAAAGACAGAGTGGATGAATGGATGAAAAAACAAGACCCAGCCAGGTGCTGGTGGTTCATGCCTGTAATCCCAGCACTTTGGGAGGCCAAGGCAGACGGATCATGAGGTCAAGAAGTAGAGACAATCTGGCAAACATGGTGAAATCCTGTCTCTACTAAAAATACAAAAATTAGCTGGGCGTGATGGTGTGCACCTGTAGTCCCAGCTACTCAGGAGGCTGAGACAGGAGAATAGCTTGAATCCAGGAGGCAGAGGTTGCAATGAGCCAAGATGGCACCAGGACACTCCAGCCTGGTGACAGGCAAGTCCCATCTCATAAATAAATAAATAAATAAATAAATAAATAAAAAAATAAAAGACCCATTGATCTGTTGCCTACAAGAAACACTCTTCTCCCATAAAGACACACATAGGCAGGAAGTGGTGGCTCACTCCTGTAATCCCAGCACTTGGGAGGCAGGAGGTGGGTGGTTTACTGGAGGTCAGGAGTTCAAGACCAGCCTGGCCAGTATCGTGAAACCCCGTCTCTACTAAAAAAATATAGAAGAAATTAGTTGGGTGTAGTGCCAGGTGCCTGTAGCTGACTACTCATGAGGCCAAGAGAGGAGAATCACTTGAACCTGGGAGGCAGAGGTTGCATTGAGAGCTGAGATCCGCCACTGCATTCCCAGCAGGTGACAGAGTGGGGCTGATCTCAAAAAAACAAAACAAAAACCAAAAAAAATGCCAGTATATCTGATACATATTGATGCAAAATCCTCAACAAGATACTAGAAAACTGAATTCAGCAATATATAGGAAAGATTATTCATCATGACAAGTGGGATGCCTCTGGGGGATGCAGGAGATAGTTCAATATTTGCAAATCAATCAATGCTATACATTATATGAACACAATAAAGGATAAAAACCATAAGGTCACATTTCAGTTGATACTACAAAGCATTTGATAAAATCAACATCCCTTCATGGTAAACACCTAAAGAAACTGGGTATAAATGCTTACCTCAACACAGTAAAAGCCATATTTTGACAGACCACAGTCAGTACCAAACTGAATGTGGAAAAACTATTTCCTCTGCAATCTAGAACACAACGAAAATGTCCACTTTTACCACTGCTATTCAACATAGTACTGGAAGTCCTAGCTAGAGCCATCATAGAAGAGAAAGAAATAAACAGAATATAAAAAGAAATCCAAATTGGGATGAAAAAGTAAAAATTATCCTTGTGTTTGCAGATAATACATTTTATTTGGGAAAATACTAAAAGACTCCACAAAAACTATAATAATTGATAAATTCAGTGAAGCTGCAGGATACGAAATCAATATACAAAAATCAGTAGCATTCTATATGTAAAAGTGAACCATTTTGGAAGGACATTTAAAGTAGTCCTATATACCATAGCTACAAATAAAATTAAATACCTAGAAAGTAACCTAACCAAAGAAGTGTAAGACCTTTATAATGAAAATGATAGAACACTGAAGAAAGAAATTGAAGAGGACACCAAAAAATGGAAAGAGATTCCATGTTCATGGATTGGAAGAATTAATATTGTTTAAATGTCCATACTATCCAAAGCAATTTACAGATTCATTGCACTCCCTGTCAAAATATGAATGTCATTCTTCACAGAAATAGAAGAAACAATCCTAAAATTTATGTGGAGCCACAAAACCAGAATAGCCAAAGCTATTCTAAGCAAAGAACAAAGCTGGAGGAATCCATTGCCTGACTGGAGTTGTGCTGCGGACTGTATGATCAGATGTGACACATTTTGCTGCAGACTGTGGCCCAGGCTTATATGGCACTGGCATAAAAAAAAAAAAGACACATAGACCACTGGAACAGAATAGGAGCAGAAACAAATCCACACACAGTGAACTCATTTTTCATAAATGTGCAGAACATACATTGAGCAAAGACTTCTCTTCAACAAATGGTTCTGGGGAAAACGATAATACACAGCAGAATAATGCACTGAACTCCTACCCCTCACCATATACAAAATCAAATCACTGGAGTAAAGACTTAAAATCTAAGACCTCAATGAAACTAATATGCAGAGGACTTGGGAAGAATCTCCAGGACATTGGTCAGAGCAAAAATTACTTGGAGTATACCCAACAAGCACAGGCAACCGAAGCAAAAATGGACAAATGGGGTCACATCAAGTTAAAAAAGCTTCTTTATAGCAAAAGAAACAATTGACGAAGCGAAGAGACAGCCCACAGAATGGAAGAAAATATTTGCAAGCCTACTCATCTGAAAAGGATTAATAACGAGAATGAGTAAAGAACTCAAACAACCTCTCTGAAAAAAATCTAATCTAAATTTTTAAGGAGCATAAGATTTGGACAGGCATTTCTCAAAGAAAACAACTACAGACAGTAAACAGGCATATCAAGGAAACACTTGTTATTGATCATTAGAGAAATTGGCAGTGTGAAAACTACAATGAGATATCATCTCACCCAATAAAACAGTTTATGTATCCA